GCACGTTGATTTATTTATTTAGGAAAGATTCTGGTGAGTAGAATTTCATGTTCAAAAATATAACCACTGTAGCCCTGGCCGGTTTGGCTCAGCGGTTAGAGCGTTGGCCTGCAGTCCAGAGAGACCTGGGTTTGGTTCCCGCTAGGTACATATACTTTGGTTGCAGTTTGTCCCCGGCCCTGGTTAGGTCGTGTGAGTGGCAGCCACTCGATGTGTCCCTTTCACATTGATGTTTCTCTCTCTCTCTCTCCCTCCCACTCTATCTGAATAAAAAAAATGGAAAAATGTCCTCAGATGAGGATAAAATAAAAAATGTGACCACTGTAAAAGTTTTTTGACACACAGTACCAAATATGTTGTATTTTAAAGTAGTTTGGTACTTGGGAAAACATGCACATAAATAACCATTAATTTTTTTGTCAAAAGCTAGTATATCACTGTCAATCTGAAAAATTATTTTTTTCAGTTATTAGATATTGAAAGAACAGTTAAAATATTACATAAAATCAAAGACAATATTTTCTTTATTAATTGCACTGCCTTTGAAAATGAAATAACACAACAAAATATTAGATTCATACTTATTTAATGAGTCATTTCAACAATTTCTATTCTTATTTCTCTGACAATTGGAAGATATCAATAGGTTGTTTTTATAGTCTATTCTTCTGATCTAGAAAATAAACACAAATAGCCATGCTTTCTCCTGTGTAATTGTCACTCTAATTGAGCAAATAGCAGCATATACTGACTATACATTTTTCTTTATTGCATTTAATTTGGTACTTACCTAAATGGTGAATACATGAATTTGGTCTTTTAACTTTGTTAATTAGGAATATGTTATTTCTGTCAATCTCATTATTATCAGGTTTTGTTTTGTGCCTTTTCCATATTGTTTGTATTTTCTTACAAGAAAAGTTTGTAAAGTAAGATTCAATAAAATAGTTACCAAATGTAATTTTTTCCTCTCAGTGGTTTGGCAAAAATAGTTAATTTTTAAAATATGTTTCTACTATTTAAGTAATATACTTTTGTAGCTTTTTGTTGGAAATTCTTCACTGTTAATTAAAACTTAATATTGCACTAATACCTTTAATACTTAAATTTAACTGGAAAACAAATTTAACATGTACCTTTTAAAAATTAAGTTTTATAAATCTAATTATGTAATGCTAATGTTTATTGATCATTTTACAAGTACTTCAGATATATATATATATATATATTTTTTTTTTTTATCCTCACCCGAGGACATATTTTCATTTTTTGTTCAGATAGAGGGGGAGGGAAAGAGAGGAAGAGGGAGAGAGAGAAACATCAACGTGAAAGGGACACATTGAGTGGCTGCCTCCCGCACGACCCAACCAGGTCCAGGAACAAACTGCAACCGAGGTACGTGCCCTTAGCGGGAACCGAACCTGGGTCTCTCTGGACCGCAGGCCAATGCTCTAACTGCTGAGCCAAACAGGCCAGGGTGATATATTATTTTTTAAATATAATAATACAAATTTTTTTTATACCTCAGATTGTTTAGAGACACACCTTAATTTTTCTAAAAACATAAAGAAAAAGGAATTACAGATATGATTATTTTCATCAGAAACTCTCATGATAAATTTTTTTTTATCTCAATTAAAGGAAGACCTTTTCTTTAAGCTGAAGTCAAATATTTACATAAACATAGAGAGGGATGGGTTAAAGAGGAGGGAGGATGTTTAAAGATTATTAAATTAGCTGTGAAAATCTGGGGTACTAACTGATGTAGTTTCTGCACTTCAGTAAGATAAATAATCTTAGACTTCCATGATGTCTGTAATTATAGATTAACTCATATTTTTCTGAATTTTGGAGTTCTTTCTTAGAGTTTTGGTGTTTGGCTTAAGAGATTTTTCCCTTAAGATCACATTTGAGCATTTTATTAAAGATCATATTCTGATCACTATGCCTTGGCTTCATTGTGAATTACATCGCTGCAAATCTGTATCCTCACTTCAAAGAAGTTTGGGGTATAAAGCTGCTTTGGGACCCCAAAAGCTGTGTGTGTGTGTGTGTGTTTAAATCTGAATGATAGGATATTGAACAAAAACCTGCCTCTTAAACTATTTCACTTATCTTTCTTCAATATAAGTACAGCATTGGATATCCGAATTGAAAGTTTTTGAAATTGCGTATTTCATCCCCATCCAGTGAACAGCTCTTCTACTTGCAATGATTTCTCTTTTTGTTTTTCATTTCTTGGGGAAAGAAAAAAGAAGACTGAGTTTGGTTGAAACAAAAATAATGTTATTGAAATATTATTTCTAGGTTATTTTCATTACAAAAAAGGACCAACAGAGAAAAAATAACTTGCTGGTGAATAAGTTTTTATGATGGATCTCTTTATCACTAGGATACTTTCTTCTCCAAACATATTAATGTTTGTGGAGTCTTTTCTTTATCAGAATAGGTTGATAAAATGTAGAAAAGGAGCGGAACGGAAAACTTCATATGAGCCAAAAAGACATGTTGGGTTACTCTATAAGGATTAGCTTTGTAGGACAATTTTAAATTGAAAATATTATTTACCCATCTTTGTTGACTATATATTCACTAAGGTAGTGGTCCCTTGAGATTTCATTAGTTAAGGCACTAACAGTATTTTTCCATTTAGGGACCTTTTGTAGATGATGATTGAGTCTGGAGTTGAGAGACATGTTTGAGATTGGAATTTAATTGATAACACATTTAAATGGTTCAGATGCAAACTCTATTTGCATCTGTTTGCTTGGAGCAAATACAGATTAATGTCTTTCTTATAATCCCCACTTATCTGTTAAATATAAATGGTGTTCTGAAAGAGAATCATAAAAACCAGATTCTACAAAATCTCTAAACCATTACTAAGCAATATTAAACCAATATACTTTAACGCAGGGGTTGAGAAACTGTGGCCCACAGACTGAATCCAGCCCACTGTTTTGTAAATAAGGTTTAATTAGAGTACAGCCACATTCATTTGTATATGCATTGTCTGTCACTACCTTAATGTTGCAATGGCAGAGTTTTGGCAGAAGCCATGTGGTCTGCAAAGCCTAGGATATTTACTGTTAGGCTCTTTACAGAAAAAAATTTTCAGCTCCTTCCATCATATATCCCATAGTACTTAGTAATCAGAAAGAATCTAAGGTAGCTTCATAAAAGGCTGATGTCCAGAAAAATACTCTAAATATTAGAAAAAACATATATATGCATGTATGTATATGGATCTATATGTATGTGTATGTATATAAAATGTATTAAAACTTTTGTCGATTGGTGTTATTCATATTTAAAATGAAATTTTTTTAAAGAAACTTCCCAAACTCTCAATTTAGCTAATACTCTTTCAGTATACATGTTTTTTGATGCCAGGATGGCTTTTTTGGTTTCCTTGTTCTTGGATAAAATAAACATGTTTACCTGAGAGTATCTCTTGAGGTATAAACAATTTCAAACGTGTATTTGAATCAACTAATTGATCTGATAATTGACTATATTTCATATTGATATCTTGGAGGCATTTGATTGATTTTATGTATCATGCAATTGATATTAACATAATATGTATATTCCTATTTTAGAATTTGACTCAATCAATTAATCAAATTGTTATTAAAAGGAACTGATTGCCTCACTTTACTGAATAGTTGACTTAAATTTGCGGTTTTACATAGAGGTCATATAATGTAAAGTCTGTACATTATTTTACTCACAATTTGCTTACTCCTCCTTGAACCCTTTTTCCATCTTTATATTATTTAATTAATTTATTTCTACTTAAAATTTGTTACTATTAATAATGATCGGATATATGGGGTTTTGTTTTGTTTTTTTTTTGAGAATATTAAAATACCTGTCTTTAAACAGGCACATTCTTATCCAAATGTCTTTATTGCAGTTTAAAGTTATGCTCTCAAGCAAGGGTTATGTATGTGTATGTTTACATCCCACCTACACGCAGTGCTTGACAACATTTTATTATAGATACCCACTTGGGTCTACATGACAACATTTTATTATAGATACCAACTTGGATCTACTAAGCTATGGTTATTTTTTCCCAGTTTGAAGATTTGTAGTATACTATTGAGATTTTATTTTTATTTGAGAAATAGAATTTCCCTATAAATTTGAATAAAAATCATAAATATACTTTTAAAGCACTATTTTATGTTTGCTAAGATTTGCTAACAGAATTTAGTTCTTGTTCTAACCAAACTTTTTAAAGACCCTCTTAATATCTATAACTGATGTGTTTTGAGGTAGCACCAATTAACAGAGAGCATTAATCTCATTTTTAATAGGCTTACCATCTCGCTCTTTCACCTCCTAACATTTTTTTTTCCTTAAATGACTTCAGTAATACACTGTACCTTTACTGGCTTGATATCTTCTGAGTAGTATCATTCTAAGTGCCTCTTTCTTGATCCTAATTCTAGAAATTTCAAAATAGCTTCAAGTTTAAAATAGCTTGATAACTGTGTCCACATATATGTCAGGGCAACCTTTTTTAATACATGGGCTAATTTTATGAAATAGTTTCTAAATGCAATTGTAAAATTGTATTTGAAACCAATTAAACTCACAACTTTTCTCCAATAAATAACTCAGGTCTTGATGCATTACAAGCCAAAGTTTTTATAATAATACTCTTGTCAAATTTATGTGTTGTCAGATATATGCTCCTTGACCTGCATGTACCAGAAAGTGTTTTCTATCTAGTATAGATTTGTTGTCTTTTGTTTAAATTCATTTACCTTTTATTCAGATTAAAATTATTTTACATATTTAATAATCATGCTTTTATTTGCCAAATTGCATACTTTAAATATATCTAAAAATAATACATTTAAACTGTATGTACTACCTTGAATGAAAGTAATATATCAGCCTAGCATTTCTTCTTTTATACATCCTGTAAGTAGGGCTCACAAATAAGAACTGAACATTAATTTTATGGGTTTTTTTCTACTCGATAGGTGCTATGGATATAGAGGAGAGAAATCGCCAAATGAAAATTAACAAATACAAACAGGTAGCCGGATCAGATCCCAGACTGGAACAAGATTACCATTCGAAGGCAAGATATTTTTCTTTTTAAAAGTTGTAAAATAATCAGTTAATCATATGAAACCATTAGATTCTCTTAAACAGCTGAATGCAGATCAGTCAGATACGAACATATAATGCAATGACCCCATGATATTATTAAATGCTCAAATTTATAATGTATTTGTACATCAACTTTTAGGTATGGAATGTGGCTTATTTAAAAAATAATTATATAATATAAGGGATTAAATAAATGAAACTCATAAATGATCTGAAAAACAAGTCTTTTAGAATTTTCAATTTATAAAACCTATAAAGGCTGTAAGACTCTCAAAATGTTTAAGAACTATTATCTTATTATGGTTTTCCAACACATAGAATTTTTTTATTTTATAATATTTTAACTGAATCTGATTTATTAATGAGGTATTAAAACAAAACACATACATACTCATGAGGTGTTGTAAGGAGTCCACAACATTTTTTAGCAAAAATATTTTCAAACTACTTTTTGGGAATAAGTTGAGGTTATGGGATTTACCAAGGTAGGAAAAAAAGTATTATTTCATTTCTCTTGCTCTTCATTGCCTTTACACTTTAGAAACATTTTAAGGTTCATGATATTATTCATGGCCAAAGTCATGGAAAAACTTTTCTCTAACATACCTATTTAATATTTAAAAAGGAATGAAAATCACAAACCTTACTCATAACAGTTATTATGTTCTCTATGACTTAGTAACTTAATCATTGCAAAAGTGTAATATTTGTGGTCTATTTATCTGTGTGTTAGAGATAAGCAGTTTGGATTTTTATATATTTAGGTATATTTTATACTAACCTACTAAACCTTCAGTTTCTCTCCATTGTACTCCATTCTTTGGTAAAGTCAAGATTTAAGGGAACATAGCTGGCTATGTTGGATATGCATACATGACAGGTAGCACAGGTTCTAGACTCTCCACTCTATAACCTAGAGGAGGCAGAGATTCTTACATCAGCATCATCTTCCAAACCACCAGTCTCTTCTCCAAATACTGAATACTAACATAGTGAATGTAGGATTGTTCATCCCAAAATCCTGGTGTACTGGGAATGGCACAGGCCTAAGCTAAGAGAGGTACATTTAAGACAAGCATAGCCTTGCCTTTACTCACCAGGTTCTAAACTAGAAATGTTTCTCTAAAATACAAATAAGAATAACTTCAAATATGTTTGGTGAATTTCACAGAAATAGTTTTGTAATGATATAATATTTCTGATACACCCCTAACCTTTTGAACTTGGTATCATAAATGATAGCTATGCTTTCCCAGGTCTTTTTTTTATATTTTGCTCTGGGCTATATAGATAGAACTGATTTTATGTGGCCTCTGTGATGCTCTACTCTCTCATTTATTCATTTTATGTAGTCCAAAGACCAAGGCAGGGAGTCCTAATAAAATAGAATATTAAAACTTTTGTAAGCATGTATTCAGATAACACAAATTTATTTTATTTGCTTATATATATCCCACTATACTTCAGGAAGGAATGTAGATAATTTTTGAAAAAATACATATAATACTCTCAATATTGTCAAAGATGAAATGAGTATCGAGGTAAAATGAATTCCAGAATAAAAAGGTAAAGTTTGTGAGCAAAATGCATCACGTGATATCCTATATACCTGTATGTGGGGTATATACTTTGACCATGAGCTTCCTAACAAGCAGCAAAGGCAGAATGAGAAACTGGGTCTGTTGCATGATTAACATAGCTCATGCAAAACAAACAAGTTCCTTAGAAACAATGGCTGTGATTCGTCCTGTGAATACATGACTGGAATTTCTTACAGGAGGATTGACTAAAGAATACTATAGATATGACAGAATATTTTTCAGAAAAACTAATTTGATTCCATTTCAATTCATAAATAGATGAATGCTTGAGGCTTTAAACGTTTATAATTTTAACACTATTTTAGTTGAGAAAAATTTTAAGTCTTGGCAAGGGACTAATTATACTAAGCAATATAATTTCCTAAACATTCTCTATGGCATTGGTTTTCAAATGGTTTTCCAGTAGCATCATCACCTAAGAATTATTAGAATGTCATTCTCTGGCCCCCTCCAGGACTACTTAAGCAAAACTCTGGGGTGATGTTCCTGTAGTTTAACAAGCCTGCCAGGTGATTTTAATGTTGACCAAGGTTAAAGAACTATTGCTCTAAGGCAGCGGTTCTCAACCTTCCTAATGCCGCTACCCTTTAATACAGTTCCTTATGTTGTGGTGACCCCCAACCATAAAATTATTTTTGTTGCTACTTCATAACTATAGTTTTGCTACTGTTATGTCTTAGGTGACTCCTGTGAAAGGGTTGTTCGACCCCCAAAGGGGTCGCAACCCACAGGTTGAGAACTGCTGGTCTAAGGTGAGCTGCTTGTAAAATTCCCTTCGCTGTAACTGAACGAGTTGACTTCCACTATTAAGGTTTTAGCTAGAAGCCAGTGATGAATGATACCATTAAAAAAAATGGAGTCCTGGCCAATTTGGCTCAGCGGTTGAGCATAGGCCTGTGGACCAGAGAGTCCTGGGTTCGGTTCCCGCTAGGGGCATGTACCACACACACACACACACACACACACATAATAATAAAATCAATCAATCAATCAATCAATCAATAAAATGGAGACTGTTTTGAAACCTTGATAGGCCTTTCACAGTTTCTAACAAATCCTCTCACCTGACTATCAGATACTTATCATTCTGTTTAGTGCTGAAATTATGCTTTCAGCTTAACCAAAAATGTAGTTAACTCGTAAGTTACAACTTTTTAAAAGGGCCCAAAACACAACTCTATTTTGTTCCACTACAAATTATTTCCTGATGTGGAACTATTTTTGCTGAGTCCTCTATCTCCCCATCATTCCTACCTTGATCTTCCTCTCTTATAGATCAAAGAAAATATTATAGAACTTCTTCATCAATCAAGGGCATATATAGATGTAGTTACTATTAATTTCCATACTAACTGTTCCTTAGGTTAAAGTTTTCAATTGGTTTCTTCTCTTTTTAATTTGGAATATTTAGCTTACATAGCCATTCTTTTCTTCCTTCTTTTGATAACAAGTGCCAATTAAAAGCTTGCTGTTGAGCTATGTACTTTAATACATTAGATCTAATTCTTGAAAAAATCATTTAACAGATGAGGGAACAAAGATATAGAAAATTTATGTAATCTATCCAAATTTACATAGCCACTAAGTCATGGAAAGTATTATTTATAGTTAAATTTGAGATATCTGAGATTATATCCAAAGCCGCAGACATATAGAGCATATGCTGTACTTCTGAGCTGCATTCCTGAAATTCCAGTGAAGCTATTAAGAAGCTTTGATGAAGTTTATTTTTTAACTACACACTCCACATTTTAAATGACATTGACTCCTTGAAATTTTCAAGCATTTTGCACTGATGGTTTGTAAACAATTCTTACTAATTAAAAAAAAATATTTTTAGTTACTTTGAAAACATCTGTGGAGAAATGCCCATTGCTTCTATGATTCTAAGAATATTTTAAGTATAATAGGAAATTTAAAAGCAGAGAGTCTATAGTAAGATAAGCAAAAGGCATGTGCAGATATTATTGCTATTTAGTCGGTGGGTGATTTCTGGGGGTTTTCCCTCGAAACAGAATTTAACTGTGTAGCCAGTACACCTTTTTCTGCCTGTTGCACCCTCCCTACTTCAGTTTAAATGATTCATCTATCTACTCTTGGCAGAAGTTTAAAGACCAACTTTTATTTTTTCTATGAAACCAATATTCTCTGCTGTTCATTGATTCAGAAAAATGTGACTTGTCTATTAAATTTAACAGAGCAAATTTTAATTTAGCATAGACCAACTACCCTTCTTGGAGTTATATAATGATTAATTAATATAAGTAGCCATAATTAAAAATTCAAACAATGTATATAGTATATCTAAAAATTGATATGGAGAATTGACCATTTTATTTAAATGTGATTTTTACTTTTTAAACTAGCCTTATTTAATATTTTTAAGTTATCCCAGAATATATATATATATATACATTTTATCCTCACCCAAGGATATTTTTCTATTTATCTTCAGATAGAGTGGGAGGGAGGGGGAGAGAGAAACATCAACTGGCTGCCTCCCACACGACCCTGACCAGGACCAGGGGCAAACTGGAACTGAGGTACATGCCCTTGACCAGAATCAAACCTACGACTCTTTGGTCTGTGGGCCAGTGCTCTAGTCACTGAGCAAATCTGGCCTAGGGCCCATAATATATTTTTAAAAGGGTAGTCCATAACATTTCAACAGAGAATGCTATACAGTTCATTGGTACAGTATTTATTTGGAACTCAAAGCTTATTTCTCTGTAGAAACCATGGCTTATTTAAAATGGTAGTAATGTTCCCACAAAATCATCACAAAAATATCTTATCCCATTATAACACTAATATAATTTTCTTTGTTCTTATTTACCTCACTAGAATTAAGTAATATAGCCCATAAATTGCCCAGGGCTTTTCAGATGTGGACCATAAATCCATACTAATTCTTTGAACTCCTAATCTTATGCTGTGGTATCAGAAAACAATGTAGCAAAAGAAAGGAAAAGAGTTTATCTCCATTCATTGTGGGTGCCTGATCCTAGGCACTGTTACCTTTCTACCCAGGTCTTTTGTCTTTAAAGACCTATTCAACAATTTCAAAGAGACATATTAAGAGGAAAGCAATCAAACTAATTTACTTTAAAATATACATAACACAACATACAAATAGTTTCATTAAAAACACACATGATTTATTTGTAGGCCATATTAATATAAAAAAATTCAAAACAGATAAAGACAAAGTATTTTTGGCAAGTAGATAACCACTGTTAATTAAGCTATTCCCTTTATTAGAGCTTATTCTTTTCTCAACACTGAAGATACCCAGCAGAAAGGTATTTTTTTTTAAAATCAGAATTAAGATCACCTACTCATAGATTTCATCCCAAACCAGATCAAG